ATAATTTATTTTATAGTTATACCAGCAGTGTATAAAAGTGGCCATTTTATTGAACCTTAGCTTATAAGAGTGTTTACTATTTAATCTTTGTAAATAAAAGAGGAAAGGAGAAATTTTTTTGAGATATAATCTACAGAACTCATTAGGTATTTTATTGTTTTTAGTTAGTATTGCCTTATTTGAGGTTGAATATTCAGTGTGGTACTTTTACCTGGGATTTAGTTCGATAGCAGTCATCCTAGTTTATGTAAGCCCTCCAGAGTTGTATGGGGACCTTCCTTTTGTCCCCTAGCAGAAGGAATATACATTTTTCTATCTTTATATAAACTTGCTAAAGGTTTAATTATTTATATATTTTAATGTTTATTTTTTGAGAGAAAGAGAGTGCAAACGGGAGGGGCAGAGAGAGGGAGACGCAGAATCCAAAGCAGGCTCTAGGCCCTGAGCTGTCAGCACAGAGCCTGACGCAGGCCTTGAACTCACGAACCTCAAGATTGTGACCTGAGCCAAAATCAGTTGCTCAACCAACAGAAACACCCAGGTGCCCCAAGGTTTGTTTATTTATTTTTTTAAGATACTGATGCATCTGTAGGATTTGGATAATTAAATAACAACAAAAAAGGAATCCTTTAGTTTGCAGAGTCCCTTGCTTGATTTTGTTGTGACCACACAGATTTTGTCCTTGGTACTCTGTTCAGAACTAAGTAGAGAAGGGGTGCAGAGAGTAAGATCCCAGAATTCTAAGTTCATAGTTATCTTTAAACTGAACTATTGGAATACAACCTTTTTGTATGTTGAAACTTTCGTACACGTTGGGAAAATCCCCAAGTGCAGATTTTTTTTGTTGATAAAATTTGTTTTCCAAAACATGTTCTCTTTGTTCTCACAGATCTATTAAGTTCCTTGAGGGTAGGAGTAAGATCTCGTTCATTTTTGTATACTAAGCATTGTGCCAGACACACAATAGGTGCTCAGTGAATTTGTGACTAATAGGCTCTTTTAAAGAGTAAAAAGACTTGGGGCGCCTGGGTGGCTCAGTTGGTGAAGCATCAGACTGTGGCTCAGGTCATGATCCCATGGTCTGTGAGTCTGAGCTCTCTATCAGGTCCTGTGCTGACAGCTCAGAGCCTGGAGCCTGCTTCAGAATGTCTTCCTCTCTCTCTACCCCTCCCCTGCTCATGCTCCATCTTTTTGTCTCTCAAAAATAAATGTTCAAAATTTTTTTAAATAATAAAAGAGTAAAAAGACTGAACTTGGAGTTAGAAGGCTTGTGGGCTTTTTCCCCCCATTAATCAACTTGAGCTTTAGGACCTTTGTAGATTATGTGCCATCTTTTGAACCTCAGTTTAGTCAACTCATGAGTACACTGCTTTTTCCATTTACTTCACAAGGTTGAGAAATAAATGAGAGAAAATATATTAAAGTATCCTGTGAAATTAAAAAGTATCATATACTTGTGAAAGTCATCATCATCATTATTATATTTCTGGGAAGTACTTGGTAATGAGTCCCATTGTTAAAAAATTACCTGGAAGAATATGCCAGAGACTGCTAGCCAGACACCAAGAATCCAGTGTTTCCTCTTCTTCCTGGACCTATCACTGGACTGTGTCTTGGCCTCTCTTGCATTTAGATTTGGCTGTGTGACTGAGTTCTAACCGATGGAGTGAACAGAAATAATGTGTGCCACCTTAAGGGCCCAGCCCTTAAAAACCTATCATGAGGATATCCCTGAGCTTTTATTCTCCTTCTGTCTCCTTCTGTCTTCTGTCTTCAGGTTGGAATGGAGACAATCCTAGGGTAACTGTGAAAGCCTTTAAAGGTGGTAAAGCCTCCTTTAACCTGCATGGAGGCATCTGCACCCATCCAGTTCTGCTGCATGAGCAAGAAATAAATCTCCCAAACTGTTGTATTGGGATCTCTGTTCATTTATTGGTCTACTTGTCATAGCAGTAAGATGACTCCTAACAATTAAAAGGAGCATGCTAACACATGCTCTGCTTTTTCATTAGTGCTTTATGTTTTCATAATCCTTATAGCAACCTTACAAGGAAGGGATAACAGGTTAAAGCTATAAGTGTATAGATGTGGTCCATATACTTATAAAATTGAAGAAAGAATTATGTTTTTTCATTTGAGAATTTTTTGGTTAGAAAACTTAAATAATGAGATTTATGACTTATTTAAAAAAATTTTTAGGGGCGCCTGGGTGGCTCAGTCGGTTGAGCGTCCGACTTTGGCTCAGGTCATGGTCTCACAGTTCGTGGGTTCGAGCCCTGCATTGGCTCTGTGCTGACAGCTCAGAGCCTGGAGCCTGCTTCCGATTCTGTGTCCCCTCTCTCTCTGACCCTCCCCTGCATGCTCGTGCTCTCTCTCTCTCTCTCTTGCTCTCTCTCAGAAATAAATAAAACATTAAAAATTTTTTTGAGAGATAGAGACAGAGCATGAGCAGGGAAGGGGCAGAGTGAGAGGGAGACAGAATCGGAAGCAGGCTCCAGGCTCTGAGCTGTCACCACAGAGCCTCACAGGAGGCTTGAACTCACGAGCCTTGAGATCATGACCTGAGCCAAAGTTGGACGTTTAACCGACTGGGCCACCCAGGCATCCCTGAGATTTATGACTTATTATTAAAGTTTATTTAGATAACTTCTATATTTTTCAGTTGTTCATTGTTGGAGGCCAAGATTTCAAAAGAGTATAAGGTATTTTTTGGTTATATCTTGCTTTAATTGGAATTTAGTGTCTAAGTTTTTTTCTTTAACATTATAATGTTAAAGCTATCATAATCAGGGTATTTTTTTCTATTAGCTGGTTCTAACCCATTTTATTATAAAATTTTTTTGTTGGTGAGAGTACAGGTATCTAGACATGGTCTAAAACTTGCAGGACAAGACATTTTCCTTGAAATAAGCATGTGCGTGAAACTTCATATTACCTTCCTAAGGAATAATATTGGGGAAATTAAAATACACACTTACCCTTTTATCTGGCGGCATTTACCCTAAGTAACAGATAATATTGTACCAAAAGATTGAGAAGGAGAGGGTCACTTTAAATCTATTTAGGTTTGAGGTGGTCCACTAATGTTCCTAATATCAAGTACAATATTGATCAGTCTCCTTATCTAGCAAAGTTTAGCACCTTTTACTTTCTAGAATATTTTGATTATGAAAATAAATAATACGCCATCAAACATAATGAAAATAATCACAGAACTGGTGCACTTTACCGTCTTAGAGGAGGAACTGCCCCCTTTCTTCTTCAGCAATAAATTTAATTTGATACATTATATTTAGTAATCTGATTTCCCCTAGGAGGCTTGAGTTCTTCTCTGGGTTACAGTTAATTCAAATCAGGAAATAAGCTGTGGACAGCAAATTAGAAATAAAGAAGGGTAAGAAATAAACCTTATAGTAGAGCTTTAAAAGGTAGCAGCAAAGGAAAAAAGCAACTACAGGAAAGAAGAAAAAAGTAATTGTATAAGTAAGAGTCTGAAGGAATTAAGTGAATTGACAAGCTCAGGCCTGTTTTCTTGGATACCTTTTAGGAGTATTGAACTATTTATTACAGCACATATAACAATTGATATTAGTTAATTGCCTTAAAAAGTAACATAAAACTGAGTTATGTTCAGAATACTTTCTGGTAGAATGTGAAGTACATTTTAAAAAATTTTTTTCTAATGTTTATTTTTGAGAGAGAGTGTGCGCATGTTGCACGGGGGAGGGGCAGAGTGGAAGGGAGACACAGAATCCAAAGCAGGCTCCAGATACAGGGCTCAAACTCATGAACCGTGAGATCATGACCTTAGCCAAACCAGATGCTCAACCAACTGAGCCCCCCAGCAGCCACCCCAACTGCGTTTTAGAGTTTCTTCAGAACTTGTTAAAATCAAGTTTTGGGAGGTTTCCAGTGATCTGAAAATTTTAGTTAAATCAGAATGGCTTATTTCCTGACCAAATAGCTACTGTTTCTTAAAAATTAGTTCCTTGGTTGCATAGAAAAAAGTACGTGATTCTTGATTTCTGACTACCAAGTTACTCACCTTCAAATGCAGTTCCTTCAAATTATTAACCTTGGAGTGGTTTGAATTCTTATCTAGTTATGCTAGAAAGAGGCTACGTTTTTTAAAATCAGATTCTTGTAAGGAAGTGAAAAACTAGTGTAATTACTAACAGATGAGTTTTTGCACTTCAATTTTTTTTTTTAAATTTACTTACTTATTTTGAGAGACAGAGCATGAGTGGGGGAGGAGCAGAGAGAGAATCCTAAGCAGGCCCCACACTGTGAGCAAGAGGTGGTGGCGGCAATGCAGGGGCTTGAACTCACAATCAAGGGACCACGACTAGAGCTGAAATTAAGAGTCTGATGCTTAACTGACTGAGCCACCTAGGCACCCTTGTGCTTCAATTTTTAAGACAAAGTTTAATCCAGTTGGTATCTTTCATATAAATTGATTTTAATACTTTATATTTAGCTTTCTCCCTGCCCAGCCAAAACTATGTCTATATTCTTTGGAATCTATCGCTTGCTTTTCTAGAAAAATTGTTTCAATACAGCAGAAACTGCCTTCTACTTGGCTGATCATTTGTTTACAGGTACTTTGCAGTAAGATAACTGGTTGAAGCTGCTGAGATTTTATTTCTTCAGTTTATAAGTGGAGTGAAACATTACAGTTACACTAAAAGAGAAATATATTTTATTAAAGCAACTTTGCAGGGTTATTCTTCATGACACACTAAAGATACTCCTCAACAAAACCTACCACAGTCTCTCACATCTGGTAACTGTTCAGGAAACATTTGTTGAATGATGAATGAGCATTGAATTTGAACTAGTTTTCGTTGTCATAGCAACTCCTGTCAGGAGTCCTATATATTTTTAATTTTTTAAGTGTTTACTTATTTTTGAAGGAGCAGGTGTCCTATATTTAGAAGATACTTAACTAGAAAATATTAACCATCATCTACTAATTGTATTTATTTGTGTCCGAGATGCAGGTGGCAATAAAAATAATAGATAAGTCTCAGCTGGATGCGGTAAACCTTGAGAAAATCTACCGAGAAGTACAAATAATGAAAATGTTAGACCACCCTCATATCATCAAACTTTACCAGGTAGGACTTAACCTTATTCCTCTCTGTGCTTCTCACAACTTCTCTCTTTCGTATCATTTTTCTCTTTTGTGTTAGTTTTTTCAGTCTGTTTTAAAAAAGGGGATCATTATATGGTTTTATTAAGCCGAGTATAACCGTTTTCTATATTTAAATTAAAAATCAGGAAATAAAAAACTAGTAGCTTAATTTTAAGTTCTCTCTCAGACTGTAAGGCATTTAATTCAAAAGTTTGTAGTTTTGTGTTGATGGTACTAAAGCCTCTTGTCTTTTGGTGGCGGTACCATTAATGGGGATGTGGCAGTTTTGTTTATTTAAAAAAATACAGTTTATGTTTTATGAAATACCAAGGTTAAAACATATTATTTAGTGGCATACTTTTAATACTTAGAGCCAAATCTTATATTTTGTTTGGGTTATTTTGTCAGATAAAGTAAATGAGCCATTTAAAACAAAATCAACTTTATTGAAATACAATTTTGTAAAACAAACTATACCCATTTAAATTGTAAGCTGTGTTTTTTAAAAGGAAGATTTTCTCCGATTTTTAAAGAGTAATTCACATTGAGGAATGATAATGTAATACAAAACATTTTTTTAACATTTCTATTAATACGTAGAATTTTTACATTGGAAAACTATTTTTAAGCTAAATGTTACAATGTGCTAGCCTGTGACTTTGATCTCCACAGTCTGATGTGCGCACCCAGTGGTGTTCTGTACTCAGCCTGTACTGGCTTGTAAGATCTGACTGTTACATTTTCAGAAGTTTTACAAGGCAGTGACTATTGTGTTAATAACTCAAAATTGGCAATGGTGGGAGTATGTACACCACAGAAAGCTGTTTCCTTTTTTCCCCACAAGAGCTAATACTGGCCCATCACTGTGTGTACTCACATGGCTTAGCACAAGCTTCCCTTGGACATAATAAGAAAATATTAGAACATCTATGTGTATTTTTTTAATATTTATCTTCTTGTGTGCACTTTACAATGTATATAATGTGTTTATACAGTTACACAGCACAAGAGTGTAATTTGTATTTTTTTATGTTCACATAAACATATGCAGGTACATGTGTATATTTATATGTACATACGTATTTGGTGAGACAGCTTGTTATTGATAGAATTTGCAATTTAAAAGGTGTGGAAACCATTAGTGTTACCATTAGAATGAGAGACCATGATGTGTCATTCAAAACAATCCCCCAAATTTTGAAACTGCACATGGCTCCTTAGGTCTTATTTATATCACAGTATTCCTCCCTTTAAGCTTTTTTTTTTTTTTTAATTCTTAAAGAGGATACTTATAAGAAACTGATCACATCCTTAGAAGTCTGATGAACCATATGCTAAACTGAGGTTAAAACTACTGTGTGTCACATAATTCCATCTTCATTTGAGCTAAATAATTAAATTGACTTACTATTTGGCTTATTTAGCTGCAAATTGTAGATAGCTCTTTTCTGGCCTGATTGGGAACAGTCCTGAACCTACATGTTAGAGCAAAATTAGTTTTCAGCCTCGGAGTAGATGGCAGTTAAATTTTCACTGTTAGCATGTGCCAGTGCATTAAAAGAGAGTGTTACAGAGAATCTAAAATTCACTCATTTTGAACTTCTAAATTCATTTCCTTTTGGCTCATTATAGTTTGAAATATCAAGTTTGTAACACTGACACGCTTCCTTTTCCAACCTAGAGAAACTAAATAAAACTGTATGGCAGTGGAGTTATGAAGAAACTTTTGAACATTGTTTTTAAAATAACAGTAGTTTATAACAATATGACAGTATAGTAGGAGGAATATCCCATTGTGCCAGATTATCTAGGCTACAGGCCAGATAAACTGAGCTCTATTTTATTATTCCGCAGAGTCTACCAGATAGCACAGAGCTAGAAAAGTTTGTGAGAAGGTGATAAAAAGTTGTTCTTCAAAACTCCTGTTATCTATATTAATATTTCTTAAACTTGAACGTGCATAACAATCACATTTTTTATTTAAAAAAATTGTTAAAATGGAAATTTTGTGTCAGTAGGCCTGGGGTGGGGCCTGAGATACTGCCTTTCTCATAGATGTCCAGGCATGTGACTTCTGCTGGTCCAGGGGCCATCCTTGGAAACGAAAGAATCTAGGTTTTTCACAGAAGGGTTAGCATAAGGATATTGTCAGTCTTGTAAACTTTGCCATCTTCTGAATTATTCATAACTTGGGTAATTTTATTAGTAGTTTATTTAGTAACTCTATAGAATGTTGAATTGTAATAGAATTAAAATCCTTTCCTGTCAGACTAATATGGAATTATTTATCAATAGGTAATGGAGACCAAAAATATGTTGTACCTTGTGACAGAATATGCCAAAAATGGAGAGATTTTTGGTAAGCACTTTACTGTTCTTTACGTTTGGTACTAATTTGAATATGTCACTAATCTTCATGAATGGAGTATTTCCTGTTAATTTTCCTGCTGGTTTAAGAGTTGGTAGCTAGAAATTTTTAAGGATTAAAATATAGTAAATATTCAGTATAACAAAGATAATGGGATGTAACATATTCTCTTGTATTCTGGATGTTTATGGCATTGAAGTTGTTGCTTAATTCCGTCCCCTGCCTAAGAGAGAAGGAGAATCTCAGGAAGAAACTTGCAGTCATATTGGAAGGGGAATTTTCTTTCCTTTTTTCTTTTCTTTTACCTTCATTTTTTACCTTTCCTTCCAGGGACAGAATCAGTCAGCTAATACTTACTGAGTTCCTACTATGTCCCAGCATTGTTTTAGGCATAGAGGATATAGTGGTGACCTGAATAACTTGGTGCCCGCTTTGGTGGATTGTATGGTTTAGAAGCTGTATGAGCTGTACAGCAGTAGCTGTAAGACCCCAGGCAAGTCACTGCACCTCTCTGGGGCTTGGTTGCTTTATCTCTAATAAGGAGATTGTTTGATTTAATTGGGTTTTATGATCCATTCTGACCCTTAAAAAATTACAAATATTTTGTTCTAGTTTTCATCTGTTTTATTTTTACTCTGTAAAGGCAGCACACTGTAGGTAGCCTAAACATTTCTGGTTTTTAACCTGCACATTTAAGTCCAAAATGGTTTTTAAACAACCTTAGGAATTATTCACCTATAATAAATTGCATACATTTAATATGTACAATTTAATACGTTTTCACACACACACACACACACACACACACACAAACACACACACACACACACACACAAAAGAAACCATCACCACAGCTACGATATCCATAATTCCCAAAGTTCCTTTGTGCCCCTCTATGATTTCTCTTGCCCCACCTCACCATCCAGCAACTGCTGATCTGTTTTCTGTCACTGGACATTAGTTTGTGTCTTCTTGAGTTTTATATAAATGTGGTCATACAGTATACACTTTTTTGTCTGGCATCTTTCACTCGGTGTAAAATTTTAAGATTCATCCGTTTTATTGTGTATATCAACATATCATTTCTTTTTTATTGCTAAGTAGTTTATAAATCACTTTCTATTGTATAAATATATCCCAGTGTAACCATTCTTGGGTTAATAGACACTTGGGTTGGTTTTTGTTTTTGGCCATTAAACATGAATTGCTCTGAACATTCACATACATTCACGACTTCACATACAGTATGAGTCTTAAATATACTTTTGTTTTGTACCTTCTGGCCTTATGTTCTTGTCATACATTTTATTTATACCTTATTTTGTAAAACACAAAATACAGTGTTCTTTCATTTAAAAAGTCAATTATGTTTTAAAGAGATTTCAGTATTTCCTAGTGGACTGATTATTCCTACATCCCTGTATAGAGATGGGTGCTTTCATTTTCAATTCTTTGTACAGATACAGACCTTCATCCGGTGTCATTTGTCTTCTGTCGGAAGGATTTTCTTTGGCATTTCTTGTAATGTAGGTCTGTTGCTGATTATATCTTTCAGTTTTTGTATGTCTAAAACTCTTTGTCCGTTTTTGTAAGATATTTGTGCTGGGTATATATTTCTAACTTGGGTTTTTCTCTTTCAGTACTTGAAAGATGTCATTCCACTATATTCCTTTGTGCTTCATTTCTGACAAGAAGCCTGCTGTCTCTTTTCCTTTATTCTTCTGTGTGTGATGTGTCTCTGTTCTCTGGCTCTTTTACAGCCTTCTCATTACAGGTTTCAACAATTTGGTTGTGTGGTTTTCTTCATGCTTCTGTTTAGTGAGCTTCCTGGATCTGTGAATGTACAGCTTCCACCAAATTCTCCAAATTCAGAAAAGTTAGAGCCATTATATTCTTGACCAGTTTTTTGACTCACCCCGTATCGTCCTCTTAGAGATTCCAGTTACACATCTGTTAGACTGTTTGAAATTGTTCTACAGCTCACTGATGATGTTTTTCTGTTGTTTTTTTTTTTAATATTTTTTATTTATTTCTAGGAGAGAGAGAGAGAGAGACAGCGTGAGCAGGGGAGGGTCAGAGAGAGAGGGAGTCACAGACTGAAACAGGCTCCAGGCTCTGAGCTGGCAGTCAGCACTGAGCCCGATGCGGGGCTCGAACCCACAAACCACGAGATCATGACCTAAGCGAAAGTCGGACGCTTAACCGACTAAGCCACCCAGGCGCCCCGATGTTTTTCTGTTTTTAAGAAAATTCCCTTGTCTGCCTGTATTTCATCTTGGATAGTTGCTCTATTCTAGGTCTTCACATCATCGAATCTTCCACAATGTCTGATTTGTTATGAATCTTATCCAGTGTATTTTTCATCACAGACATTGCAGTTTTCTGCTCTGTAAACTTAAGGCCTTGTTTTTTTTTTTTTTCCTTTTTAGATCTACCGTGTCTTTAGTTGTCTTTTTTAACATCTGGAATATATTTTTAATAACTTATAATGTCCATGTCTCCTAATTCTCATATCTCTGTCAGCGCTGAATCAGTTTGGAAAGGTTAATGTTTCTCCCCCGTTTTGATCAGATTTTCCTGCTTCTTTACGTGCCTGGTAGTCTTTGATTGTGTCCGACATTGTCTGTTTTACCTTATTGGTTGCCACATATCTTTGTATTCCTATCCCTCTTCTTTATCTTTGACCTGGGACACAGTTAAGTTCTTGGGAAAAATTTATGTCATTTGAATCTTCCTTTTATGATTGGAGCAGTGCTCAGTGTAGGTATGATTATTCCCCACTTTGGAGTTCTCTATCCAGTACCCCATGAATTTGGGTTTTTGTTTTTTTTTTTTAACCTGGTCAGTAGAAACAAGCAGCGTTCCTGGTACCAGGCACTGTTCTCTCTAATCTTCATAGATGGTTCTTTTTCTGGCCTCTGGTAGTTTTCTCACATGCATGGGCCAAGCAGTACTCTCCTCCCCCGGATGCTCCCAGATCAAAACTGTGGGGTGCTCAGTGTGTATACCTCTCTCTTCTTTGGTGCTCTGTGTTTTGTTACCTCCATTCACCTCATTCTTCTGATACTCTCAGGTCTGTCTCCTTGCTCAGGGACTCTGCTGGGCACTGCCTCAGTTTCCCTCCCTACCCCGCGGCCTAGTCCCTCTTTTAAGGCATTAGCTGAGGGTATTCATAGGTCTCACCTCATTTATTTCCTGCTTCTCAGGGATCACTCTTCTTCTTTGCCTGATGTTCAGTGTGTTATAAACCAGTGTCTCATATATCTTTGTCTTTTATTTGTTGTGGGGGTCGTCTTGGTAAATCCAGTCCCTGTTCTTCCATCTTGGTCGAAAGCAGAAATCTCCAATCCTGTCAACATTTTCCTTAAGTTTAGCTATTTTAAAAGAAAGAATGATGTATATTTCTGTAGTTTTGAGCAATGTATTTAAAGTTGAATTCTAAATAAATAGTTCTGATTAAATCATTTTCTGATTGTATTTCAGCAAAGATAGCTTGCCTGTTTTAATTATTTCTTTCCTTTATTATGCTACTACTTATTGAGCTTCTTTAAATTCCTAAGGTATTTGTTTAGAAGCTCTTAACTGATGCTGCAATAGAAGGGTATGGGCTTTGAAGCCACGCAAATCCGGCTTACGGTATTGGCTACACCATATTAGTTGTTGCATTGCTTGGGCAAGTTTCTTTCCTTTTCTTTCTTTTCCTTTCTCCTTTTTTTCTGTCTTCTGTTCTTTTCCTTTTTATTTCTTTCTTATTCTGTCGTATATTGGCTCATCTATTCAGTTTAGTCAGTCAGTCACCGCAATGAAGAAAACAGACCGAAATCCCTGGTACGAACTCTACATTGTAATGTGGGGAGAGATGAAATACAAAGAAATTAAGTAGAATGTGTAGTATATTAGATGGTGATAGTGCTATGGAAACCGTAAAACAAGGAAAGGGGGTTGGGGAGTAGGGAAGTTGACTGCAGTGTTAAATAGAGTGACCAGGGAAGGCCATGCTGACATTTGAGCAGAGACTGGAAAGTACAGTCATAGATATGGGGGAAAGAGTGTTATCCAGGGAGAGGAAAGACCAAATGCAAGGGTCCTGAGGTAGCAGTGCGCACAAGGTGTAGTGGGGAGGCCAGTATGGCTGGAGATAGGCAAGCAAGAGAGAAGAGTAAGAGTGAGCCAGGAGGAAGAATAGTAGGAGATGAGATCAGAAAGGCAAATGGGAAGCAGGAGTAAGGCACTATAGGGGCTTTGTAGGCCATTATAAGGACTTTGGCAGAATTAGGGAACCATTAGAAGGGATTGAGCAAAGTGATTGGATCTAATTTTACTCTTTTTTTAAGTTTATGTATTTTGAGAGAGAGAGAGAAAACGCGAGAGGAGGAGGTGCAGAGAAAAAGGAGAGAGCAAGAATCCCACGGAGGCTCTGCACTGGCAGTGTGAGGCTTGAACCCACAAATCGTGAGATCGTGACCTGAGCTGAAGTCAGACACTTAACCAACTGAGCCACACAGGCTCTCCTAATTTGACATTTTAAAAGCACCAGTCTGGCTGCTGTGTTGAGAATGGATTGTAGAGAGTGAGAGTAGAAACACAGAGCAGGCTGTTGCAGTAGTCCACGTGAGAGATAATGTGGCTCAGCAGGGGAGTGGCACTACACGTAGTGCTCTGGATCGGATCCACAGTGTTTTGTGAGAAGAATCAGTAGGATTTCTTGATAGCTGGAGACCACCTAAATAGTGACTATGATTGGAGAAAAGACCAATGTCTTTTCCCTAAGGCACTCAACCATTAAAAGATTGGGGAAATAGCAGGAGCCAGCAAAGGAGACAAGAGAGTGTGGTGCCCTGGTAACCAAGTGAAGAAAATGTTCTCAGGAGGGTGGTGTGAATGAATATCTATGTCAGATCAAGAAAGATGAGGAATGATTGTTGACCATTGTATCTGGCAGTTGGTAAGAGCAGTTTTGGTGGAGTGAGTGGGTCAAAAGCTACATTGAA